ACACACACACTTTCTCTGGGTTGCCACAGTACCCTGGGCACACCTGCTTTACCTGCCATGATACATGGTATTATACTTTTCTGTTTACTTGCCAGCTGCACTAGGTTGTGATTCTTTGGAAGCATGGTCTGTCTTTTTGGTTTTATTTCTGTATTTCTGCACCTCACCAATTCTATGCAGAGTAAGGACTTAGTGAGCAGTTGTGAGTTGGCGTGAATGCATTCATATAAATCATGTATATCAGCATTCTGTCACTTCCCCAACACACACACACACAAATATAAACACACACCCATTCTCACTGCATTCTGGTGAGTGTAGACTTCAAAGAGCCTCATCTGTGGTTTTTGTTTTAATTGCTGAAGCTCAAGGTCATGATCTGGCAGAAGTGACTACTACAAGAACGCACATTCGTGTTAAGTCCTGTTGTCCTTGCCACCTGGAGCACAGAATGTGCTTGAACTTATACTTTTTAAAGTGACATTTCAGGGCAGTTTTATATGAGCACTGTGAGAATGCTTTCATGTTAAATAGGAATACGGAAGCATGAAGAAAAATAAAGAATCAGGTCCAGGCTGCACAACAGAAATTGGGTTGGAAGCCTAGGCTGTGAAAGGAGCACCTCTGCCACCTCGGAGTATGATTTCAGGTGGAGCACAGAGGAGTCGGTGCCTGGCTTGCCCTCTCCATTTACTTGCCTCTTCCTCTCTGTGCTTATTGCTTGGTTCCCTTTCACAGGACAGGGGAGGCAGACATGTATTACTAGGGAGCAGGCTTTTACGAGGATCATTTCATTCCATATTAAAGTTTCTCTCAAAATGGCCGATTTATTTTCTTCTCATGTATGCATTATGTATGTGTTGCCAGGCACGATCAGATAATTCAGAAAGGCCATCCACACCTTTGTCCCCAAACCTCTAGCCATACAATGCAATGCAACAACCAAGAGAACCAGAGCCATGCTGGGCTCTGGAACAGACAGGGTCACAAATCCCATCTGGGTCTCCTTCAAAGCAAGCTGCTGTTTTGCAACAAGCTACCAGATGGTGCTAAAAAACATTCTTACCTGTTTACTTAATGGGTGACTGGCCTCTTTGCTTTATTTAGCCATCTGTTCTGGTCTATGTCCCTTTAAACTTGTAAGATCCATCACCTCATTTAGGCTGTTACCTTGACACATTGCAATGTTGTGGACATAATGCTTCCACAGAGGAGCAAATTAATATGGGTTTTCATGATTAGAAGGTTAAATAAGCTAAGGCTGTGGTAGTTAGTGGTGAGATAAGGGGTTTTGAGGAGGCAGAACTCAAGGGACTTTCAGGTGATTGAAAAATTAGGCTGGTTAGACAGAGAGATGGGGATTTTACAACTTACAGGGGCTGAGTAAGAGCGAAGACTTTCTTTGGGTATCTCTGATTTCTGGGGGATTGTTCTTCTGCCTAGAGAGACACTATGACCATGGGCCCAGGAAGGATACAGGGACCAGCTTTGGGTTTCTTTTCTCCTTTTGGGACAGTCTGTAAAGAGCAAAAAGAAGCTGATTATACCAGGAACTGGTAAGCTGGAAATACAACCACCTCTAAAATATTTAGTCATTCCCACAAAGATATTTGACTTCCAGCTTCATGGAGGGACACTTTATTGTGTCTTTACCCTGGACTCGAAGTCAGGGTTGTTCCTGATGTCCACCTTCAGCTCCGAACTCGACCTTTGGCCTGACTCCTTGACAGCTCCATCCAGATCACTGACCAGTCCCTGAAAACCAGGACTTAGAAAGCCAAGGACTTTATCTTCTGCTCTTTATCAGTTCTTACTCTGACCGCTCTGGTTTCCCCTGATATAACCAGTATTGTTACAGTCACTGAGACTCAAAATATCGGGCATCTCTGAATTTTCTGTCTGCCAGTGCAATCCAATCAGTAGCCAAGTTCTCCACCTTTCACCTAAATTGAGCTTCTTATATCTTTCCCACCTTTTTACTCCCCCACCACTGCTCTAGTTTTCCGTCCCTCATTACCACATCCTAGCCAATTGGAATAATCTCCTAACTAGTTGCTTCCTACCTTTAGTTTCTCCTTGCTCAAAGCATCTTTTTTTTGCAATCTTTTTAAAAAATTAATTTTAATTTTAATTTTTTTACACTTTATTAAATTAATTGGGGTGACAATGGTTAATATGAACATATAGGTTTCAGGTGTGTTTTTATGTTACAAGACCTGTCTATTGCTCTGTGTGCCCACCACCCTCAAAGCATCTTAAACACCAATGTTTGATGATAATTTATAAGTCACCTTTAAAAATTAAACAAAAGCCTCCTTTGGTTTACCATCACCTAGCAAACTCAGTAAACTTCCAGCTTGGTATCTGAGGCAGTCCATAAAGTTATTTGTTTCCAGCTTTTTCTTTTTCTCTGTGCCCCAGTAAGACAAAGTGCAGTGTGGTTAGAAATAACCCTGTGTTTTCTTGCCTCTTTGCTCTGTTCCTTCCACGCAGAAAGCTCCACTCACACATCTTTACTGATGAAAACTCATGCATTTTATTAAGCTCAGTCTCAAATAGATCTCTTGCTTTCTCCCACCCCATCAATGCAGTTGCTCCGGCTCTTGTTCCATAGCAACACATTGAGGGGGATGTTCTTACCTGCTTGTCATGCATTTTTCCTACCCTTATTGTTACCTTTTTAAATCTTACTTGTGCATATTCTATAGACAGGTTAACATTTCCTGCATGTTGAGGGTGCTAGATAAAGACACAGGATAATGATTGATAATGATACTTTGTCTATAAGAATGCAAAAAATTTATCCATTCATTCATCCTTTCAAGTGTTGGGTGCCTATAGTATAGTACATAAGGCACTGTGTCACGGACCTGGGATAGAGATCAATATGACACAGTGCATGCAAGTTCTCCAGGAACTCACAGTTACATGGAGGAAAAGCCACATAAATGATTCTGCAATGATTATATGCCTTCCAGGTATGGGAGTGGTGGGACTTCTTATCTCTAATAGGGTAGATATGTCGGGGGTGAGGAGACGATGGTGGGGGGGGATTGAGCAGTTAGCAAGGGCTTCCTATGGTTGGGAATGTCTGTTTTGGGTTTTAAAAACTANTTCCAGGTATGGGAGTGGTGGGACTTCTTATCTCTAATAGGGTAGATATGTCGGGGGTGAGGAGACGATGGTGGGGGGGGAATTGAGCAGTTAGCAAGGACTTCCTATGGTTGGGAATGTCTGTTTTGGGTTTTAAAAACTAAATAAGAATTGTCAAGGAAGATAGACAAGTAAGAAAGGGTAGGAATGGAATGGGAAGATAATCCAAGAAAGCTGCTCTGCTTACTCTCAGAGGCTCAGCACGTTAAGGCAACCCTCCAAATAAAACTACCCTAAATGACAGCCTCCTTTGAAAGAGAAAAGGAGAGGAATAAAGGAGCGTCTGTAACTGCTTTTGGTTGAAAGTCATTTATTCATTCTTCTCTTTTTTTAAATGTTTTGTAGAGGAAGTCTGTGATTGCAGTGAGCTTCATAGCGGCGTTTCTCTTCCTGCTGATTGTGCGCCTCGTCAATGAGGTGAATTTCCCATTGCTGCTCAACTGCTTTGGACAAGCTGGCACGAAATGGATCCCATTCTCCTACACATACAGGCGGCCCCTTCGCACTCACTATGGATACATAAACGTGAGGACGCAAGAGGTAAGACCCCAGAGGGTTACCTAGGATTTGAGGGTATCCATGGTAACAGCTTTTCTTTAGGAGCAAGATGCCTTCCAATAAGGGAACTTGCTCTCTCTGTCCCACTGAGCTTCCTTGGGTCCCTGACATTTTCTCATTCTTAGACATTTACTGACACATGTCTAAAGTCTACTGCCCCTCCTATGTCAGATCTTCTGATTCACTGGCTTCATGTGGAGTTGAGGAAGCAATTACCTGTTTTCCTGGTGGTTTGTGGCATAACATACACTTCTTTCCATTTATTAACTCTGATCAGCAGTTACCAGCTAGAAAACAGGCTGGCTTTTTTTCCTGGAGGTCAACTGGTTGGGGACAGCTCTTTGTAGAATTGCAGAAAAGCATTTATATAATCCTTAGACCTGGAGCTAGAAAAGGCCAAGCCGATTTTAAAATTCTCCGTGGCTGCAGAGATAATGGTATTTAAAGAGTTTTCAAATTTAAAGGGGTTAAAATCGTTTAAATCCTATAATCACTGAACCTCTGAGCCTTTGTAACCAATTGGTGATACAGAGGAGAATGGAGGCATATTGACAGCCAGAAAGTGCACACTATGCTAGCACTTTTGCAAGCAAGGATTTGTATCATGGAGTGAAGGAAAAAATAATGAGCCTCACAAACTGTGTGAAGTGTATAGAAGTGGTTAATAAAAAAAGTGTTTTCACTGTTTGTTTTCATGCAGTGGGATGAATGTGAGGTTAATAGTCATAGATGCAAAGTCCAAGCCTGCTTGAATTGTTGGTAACAAAAGTACAAGTCATCAGTGTGTCCACATCCCTGAGAGGAGTTTTGGGTCAGATCACATTGCAAGGTCATTTTGTAAAGGTACTAGAGAGGAGGGTTATGCATAAAATGCTACTCCTATTCTGAGAGTTATTCTTAGCATCCAGGGAGGGATGTTGAAAGCTGGCTCGGTCCACCCCCTTTTGTAGGCAATATCATACCTGAGTCTTTGCATCTGGTTAATTTGATTTTTTGAAAATCAGTTCTGTATCTGCAGGATGTACAGGCTTTTTATTAGACCTTTATAGTTAACAAGAAAAAGGCACCATTAATAACACATAAATTCTTAGGAGCTTTGCTTGATGTTTATCCTTTAATTGGCTTCAAATTAATTTTTTAAAAAGGGTCCATGGCTTGAATGTGTTGCATATCGTAATAAATTGATTACCTGTATAGTAATTATCAGAGAGAATAGTTTGTCTCACTACCGTGTTTCGTTACTTTTATTTCTGGCTGTCAATTAATATTCTATAACTCTACTGGATTGTGTTAATCACTTCACAAGTGCCTGTCACAGGCAGAAAATGAAACATGTGACTTAAGTATTTCACAAATTACTCTCAGGAGGGAAATCTCACCCAAAATAGAGGACCCTTTCATTTGTTTAAATATTAATGGATTGGATTTTGAAGTGTTAAGGGAAAAACTGACCTAGGGAGGTTGTTATTAAATTAGTCATATTAACCAAGCTCCCTTTGATATTCTTTTGATATAGTTTTTAATATGACTTTACCATGGGATATTGATCATTATTTTGATCTTTCAGAGGCTGTTTCTTGGGAGGAAACATGATTAATGGAAAGAGAGGTTTTTTTTAGGCTTTCAAGACACATGGGCATGGCTTGAATGAAAACAGATATAACAATATCATATAGCAAACTTATTATGAGGCCTAAATAGGACTAAGTGCATGAGGTGTCCAGTTCCAAACTGGTGTTCAATGAAGGAGTTGTTGTTTTTTTTACTTCTCCTATACTTATCTGTTATGACTTGAAGTGCTCAGTATGAATAACACTAAACTACCACAGTCCAGAATAACAGACTTTGTATTTAAATTTTAAATAATCTGGATTCAAGGGCATCTCATTAGAAATCAGGGTTTTGCAACTTAAAACCACAATGAGAAGAGAAAAAAGAAGCACAAGGAGGTATCACTGCACACTAAATACTAGATTGGCAAAAAATTAAGAATCTGATAATATCAAGTGTCTGTCAAGATGTGAAACAACAGGAACTCTTATATACTGGTAGGTGGAGTATAAACTGGAACAACCATTTTGGAAAAACCAGCTTCCTGTTATCATATAAAGTTGAAGATCTACATATCCCATGCCCCAGCATTTCCAGCCATTGATATGCTCACTTAGACACACTCATGAGCACACAGTGGCACCCATGGGCAGCACGCATGGCAGCATTGATCATAATCACTAGAACCTGGAAGCAACCCAGATGTCTATCAGTAGGAGAGTGGATTAAAAGTGTGCTACGTGCACTAGAATAGCTTACAGCAATAAAAAATAAAGAAACTGTAGCTATATATGACAATGTAGATAAATCTTGCACAAACATAATTTTGAACAAAAGATGCAATAAGAGAATATGCACAATGTGATTCCATTTATAGGTTATAGGAAGAGTCAAAACTGCTTAGGGACATATATAGGAGGGAAAACTAAAAGGAATAAAAAGTAAGGAAATTATTATCATACAAGTGAGAAGAGCAGTTACTCTGAGAAAAATGTGTGGTTTGTGAGCAGTGTGAGTTCCTGGGACACCAGCAAATATCCTATCTCTTGATCCAGTTGAAAATGACGTGGGTGTTTACATTCTAAATGTTTTTTAAGTATCCATTCATGTTATATGCACTTTTCTGCATGTCTCTTTTATAATGAAAAATTTAAAATATATTCTGATCCCAGTTGGGTATTTATTGACCAGAAATCACAGAAAGCATTTCACCTAATTTAATAGCAAGAAAGAACTAAAAAGAAGCAATGAGCTCTTAAGCTAGCTAAAACAAACTAAGGATACTTGAAATAGGCAGTTTCACTTTATGCAAAAACTAGCAGATATGCCGGTAACTTATTCTTCTAGTCTGTGCATGATAGAGAAGCCCTGTATTGTACCGTGAGTGAAGGGGATGGGCAGAAAATGTCACATGGGAGGTGAAAAACAGCATAACACCTAAATAAAATGATGAGTGTTCCTCCAACTCAAACAGTTCTAGGTTAAATTGACAAGAAAGCAAAATTTGGGGGCTCTCTACCTCCCTCTTCATTGATTTCATCTTTCCTTCTCACATTCCCAACCCTTACCACCCTCACCTCTGCGCTCTACTCTTACTCTCAAATACTCTGTGCATTGGTCTTCACCAAACAATGGCTTCAGGTATAATCCTTCCCAGAGATAGTTGCATTAGATAAGATTCAGGAGAAAAAAGACTTCAAGAGCCAAAGTAGTAAAGTGGTGGATTGGATATTCTGGGGCAAATAGCTTCAATAGTGGCATTCAACTTGGCCCCAAAGGCAGCCACATACTCCTATGTCCCTGTTGACTCTGTCCTAATCAGGAGAAGGGTCAATAGCAGCGACCGAGCTGAGTCAAGTGAACTCCGAGCTGATCTATTCATTTTAAGATCTTGGTTCTTGAGGTTTTCTCAGAAGTTTTTCAGAAGAAAGCACATGCTTGCTAGAAACCGGAAGACTTGCAATGTCTAGTGACCGGACATTGTTGTCACTAGACACAGATTTTATGAGTGGAAACATTTATGAGAAAAACTATCTCTCCACTACTGTCAAATGTAAGGTGGGAGTGGGGGTGGCTGCATTAGGTTGACGATTCAGGGGACTCGGTAGAGAGCTGGGTTGCTTGAAAGCAAAATCGAATTCTCTGGTTATCTTTTTTTAAAAATAATAAATAAAAATGAGACGAGTTCTGGTCCCTTTGGCTTGGCCCAAATAAAAATATAAGAAATCTACATGGAATAGATTATACCCAGTTCAAATTCAGCTTCATTTTATCAATTAACCCAGTTTTTGAATGATATGTTCCCAAGGGAAGTAAAAGACGTAAAAAATACAAGGAACACAAGAAAGATAAATATGTAGACTTGCTGATATTTTACATTGTTAGAGGTTTTTTTTCTGATCCAGACCCATACAAAAGAATATGTTGTGAAAATTATGAGGACTGTTCTAGAGGACTTAGATGGAAAGAATTCAAATACCCCTCCCACTCTATAATGACAACTAAATACAATGAGGTTGGTGATTGGCTTCCATCCTTTGCCCTGTCTCCTTCCCTTTCTTCACTAGTGTGGGTAAAGGTTCTTACATTTGGGGGAGAGGAAGTCTTGAAATCCTGAACTTTGCTGGCCACAGAACCCAGAATTCCTCGTCAATTCTATGTTTGAGCTGACAACACCATGAGGTAGCACCAACCCAAAGTTTGGACCAGGAGTGATTTAGATTTTGCAAGAGGGTCTATACGTCTCTTTGCTCCCCATCTCCATTAATTTCCTGACCCACTAGCTGCTCAGACTTGCCCCTCCAAGTCATTACTGCATTAATAATGCAACCCTCCATTTAAACAGGACTAAATTAGGGGACCCCAGGGGCAGAGTTACTATATTATTGACTGACCTTGGACATAGTAAAAGGCATAACCCCATATGTATTTGGGAAAAAAAAATCTATGTTTGGTAATATTCTGCAAACTCTGCTTTCTCCTTAACACAAATTTTAATGATTCATTTTAAATTAATTAATTGTTGTGGATAGGGAAGGTGTAAACTAAAAGATACTGCAGAACTTAGTTCAGGGTAACCATTATTTCTCCCTGTTGTGTTCATGGCAGATTTTGAGGAAAAGAAGGGAAATGAACTTCAGGTTAGATTTTGTTTCTAGTTTCCAGATCATGGAATCAGTCATCCTGTTGTTTTTGGTTGTTGCTGTTGTTGCGTGACCTTGCGTGAAGACATTGCTCAGAGCAAGTGACCTGCAATTTATTTGCATTAACCGCTAGATAAGAGAATCCAGCTCTGACAATCAATAGAATGCCATGTGCAGATCTTCCTGGCGATCAGTGGGATGACAGCTGTCTCCCTCAGATCTGAATAAGAGAACCTTAACATGCTAGAGCTGCAGAGGTTTTCTGGTGTTTGGGGAAAGAGTGACCTT